GAAAAGAAACCTTGGCTTTCATGGGCAAAAGCTTCCAGCCAGCGACTTCCTAGCAGTGCACCTCCTCTCACCTCCAGCACAGCTCAGCCTCAGCAGAGCGTAAGGGTGTTCTCCCAGAACTGGAACGCAGCCTCCTCTGGGGTGAACAGAGCCATTGCTGACCAGCAAAATGACATAGACCAATGAGGGAATCTCAGAAGGTTGCTAGTTCAGGTTCAGCTCAGTTCAGGCATGCTGTGGCTGCTCCTCTGAGCTAGGCAAATGTTTTAACCTAAATGCACATTGGTTAGGCAGGTAAGCAAATGCCTCCTATTGAAACTGTGCGGGCGGAGGGCAATGTAAGAACTTATTGACACAAGCATTTAGTACATGGCAAGCTGGGGTGTAAATCTACCTTGCACCAGCCTGCTGCATGCTAGGAGTCTGTGTGGACCTTGCTGATATGCACTAATAATTACCTTGAACTCTTCGATTTATTCCCCATTTCAAGGATGAAAGAGCACTAAGGAAGTTGCTGGTAATGCACATTGACACTTAGTTTGCAGCAGGATAGATTTATACCCCAGCTTGCCTCCAACTAATCATTTGTGCACTGTAGATAAACTGCAAGCAGGAACTGAATTACTCACATTGGAGTCTGGCCAGGAGACCAGGTTTAATGCTACAGTTGGTCCCAAACCACAGAAGTTGGATCCAGGTCGGAACTCAGATTTCTAAACCTGCCCCTTTGAATTTGGGATGTTGATTCAGCCCATTCAGCTACAAATCTCACCTTTTGCAGACCTTGTCAGGGGGCGAGATCTGGGGTCTTTGTTCAGATTCATTGCCTTCCCTTCTGGAATGTGCTATAGGGTGTTCAATGGCCAGAGGGGTTCAAACCCTTGGTTTTACATCTCACCCCACAGATGCACTTATAATGCTTCCCAAGAAAAGTCTGAAACCCAGGAGCTCCTGACCATCCCCAACTCAAACCCCTCTCCCACACCTAAATGCCCTACCCTCGTGTTTCTCAACCAGTGGTACAAGTACCCTTAGGAGTACTCGAGGGGAGTCTGGGGGGTACGTCAACACAACTGAAACTTGGAGAAAACTGAATTTTTGTTTTAAGTTTTACAGCGCTTTATTATTTTAGTACTTTTTACACCCAAAAATGTCATCACCCACCCGGCTATGATTAAATTGTTTAAACAAATGTGTTGCACTGGTAGAAAAAAATGTTGTGTGCCTGAAAACTGTAGGTATTGGGGGTACTTATAATTTTTTTTAAAGGGGTACTTCATTAAAAAAGGTTGAGAAACATGGCCCTATCCTGCCTCAAAGACCTCCGGGTTTCTACTCTCCTCTCCCTCTGGACAGTGGAGTTTCCAGGCTGCTATCATACCTATTCTGGGGCAGGAAAGCAGGAAAGGGTCCATACAGTCCAAGCAGTGGCCAGCAAGGAACTTTTCATGACTTGAGCATGGAAACGCTATCAGAGGACAGGAATTCTCCAGAGCGCTGATATAGAGATATATTGCCCGCACGTGGTCACAGATCACCAAGTTATAGCCTGCAAGACAAAGCAAGAGTACAGGTATGATGACCATGAAGGGTCTGACCTCTTGATCCAATCTGGACGCTCTGTGCTAGGAGTGACCAAACTTACTGACCCTCTGCCTTGCATACGACGGTCTTCAGAGGTTCGAGAGCCAAGGCACATTTGCTGGGAATTGTGGCATTAGCCCTGCTCCTGCTGCAGCCCTGCCTGAAGCCCTGAGAACCCCATTCCCCCTGCTGCAAGGCAGAGGCCCCACTTTTCCCCCTCCCCAAGTCTGTCAGGTGGAGAAGGAGGGGCGGGTGGGGAAGTTTTGCAAGCTGCACTGTAATTGTAAAAGAGCTGCATGTGGCTCACGAGCCATGGCTTTGTTTTCTAGTGGAAACCTGGCCTCAGTGTCTGTTGTGCTTCAGCTGTTGTGACGTGGGGTAACCACAGCTAGAATTATCTGGTCATTTTATCTGGCGGTTGCTTTACAGGCTGAGGGATGGAATAATGGGGACTGCCCTTGATCACTTGCCGTGATTCCTTCTCACCTAATGAGATGAACCGGAGGCATCCAGGCTGGTCTTTGCCTCCATTGATGAAGTAGTCAATATGGCCTACAGGAATCCGGATACCAAAATCTGAAAGGTGAGAAACCCCCCACTGAGCTGTTATTCCTGCTCCTCCTGCTCCAGAGAAACAGCCCATAGGAAGCCTGTGATGCAATGGGATGCACAGGTATTCTGTACCTGCATCACTTCTATGAGGCCCACTCTGGTCAGAATGGTGCATTTACCAACTGGAGGGCAAGGTTAGATTGGAGTCAATCAATTAGTCCCACATCCAGAAGCCAGAAGCAGGTACTGTCCTTGTTGAAGCCAGAATTCTACTATGTACTCTCAGGGTTGCTCTTCTATAGGAAGTGAAAGGGAACCTACTACCCTGCCCAGACTTGGAGGGGCTGAACTGTTTAGTTTCAGCAGAAACCAGCTTCTCCTGGCAAAACCAGGAGCTATGCTGAACTGGTCCCAGAAACTCTCTCTTTGTGTTCCTCCACCTGGCTTCCTGCCCATTCATTGATCCTGCTGTTTTCAGATGCTGGGAATGAAGGGAGGTCATCTGAGAATTTTTTGACAGCGTCCATGTCTATACTAGGGATGTGAACATTTAACCCATTAACTGGTTAACTGGTAGACCTCATCCTTAACAAGCAAAGCTTAACAATTAAGGTTAACCAGTGGGGATTGGAGCAGCTCCCCGCCAGCTGTGGGCAGGGGGCTGCTCCAGCCAAAAGTGCCCTTTTCCGGAGGGTCTTATTCCTACTTTGAATTTAAATTCCTACTTTTTATTTGAATTTAATGTTTTGTATGACTAAGACATCAATGTGAAAATGAACTACAAGACTACAGTAACTTCCACAGCTTATTAATGTAATTAATGTACTTGATTTTTTAAAAATATTTACATGCCCCTTCCGGAAAAGGGGCCAGTGTAGACCTAGCAGGGATGTGAACAATTAACCCATTAACTGGTTAACTGATAGACCTCATCCTTAACAAGCAAAGCTTAACAATTAAGGTTAACCAGTGGGGATTGGAGCAGCTCCCTGCCAGCCGTGGGCAGGGGGCTGCTCCAGCCCTGCCAGGAGCCTGCTGCGGACAAGGGCTGCTCTGGCATTGCAGCTGGAACAGCCTCTGCCCACAGCAGACCCAAACTCCCCACAGGCTGCTCCAACCAGGACCCACTTGCCTGCATCATCATCAACAACAACCATGGGCTCAGCGCCGGTTGTTGTCCAATGCCTCCCTCACTAGTTCCTTCCATCTTTCCCTGTCCAGTGCGGAGTGGCTTAGTTTCTGTAGACTAGCTCTGCACCAATCTCCTATCTCAACTACCCATTCTCTGTGGGGTCTGCCTCTCCTATTCAGCCCATCCATAATACCGGGGTCTTAACTTTTTGCTCGTCATTCATTCTGCAGATATGCCCGAATAGCTGTAACTTCTATTGTATCACTTTCCATAGTAGGTTCTCTTTTGGCTGTATCTTGCCCTCCCCATTAATTGGTTAAGAGGTTAACATATTGTTTAACCAGTTAAAATTAAACAGGATTTTACATTCCTAGTCTCTACTGGGAAGATTTACAATGTAATTCTCAGGTGGGCTATCTGTGACATTGAGCCAAAAAGGATTAAGCAACTTGCAGGCTAAATGACCCAAATTCAACCTTTAAAGACATTGTAAAGTATATAAATGGTAATTACGGCTATTCCTTATAAACAGAAAACAAAGCTATGTTAGACTAGAGCTTTGAAATGCAAATCTACATTGTTAGAGAATTAGAGGTACTATTAACTGTATGTGTTTATTTACATCTTGTTAGATGTTACCTCTGTGAATGGGCAGTTCCTGTTACTTTATCTATTGATTCAGAGATGAAAAGGGAATATTAATATTTGAATGACACCTGTGTGTAATAATGTCATTGTCTATAACTTTCTCTTTGAAAGTTTGTAATAAACTGTCTAAGAATTGCTTAATGGATGATGATGAATGCAACTAGTTACACCTGTGCATACATAGGAAATAGGTAATTCTACTTCACAGCCATAATGTTTCACCCATGATGGCAAGAGGCTGCCAGAGATCTATAAAATCTTGGGCCCTGATCTTGCTTAAGCTTTTTGAAGAGAAGTTTGAGTTACAAGAGTGAGATCCTCACCTCTGGACTGGGCAACCCTGATGATGGAGATTGGCTCATACCCTATGGAACTTATTTTGAAAGTACTTTTTGCAGCTCTAAAGCTCACTATGTCTATTATGAAACTGACCTAAGAACTCTATTCATGTCTGCATGTATAATGATCTTTTAACCAACACACTTCTTTTTAAATAAATCTTTATTTAGTTGTTAAGAATTGGCTGTAAAGTGTGAATTGAATAAGATCTGAAATATTCATTAAATGGTGTGTGGGGGGGGGAGGATGTGTTTGAGCTTTTGGATTGGTAGAACTTCTTACATGATGGACAAGATTTTCAATAACCTCATCGTATTTGACTTGGCTGTCTGGGTGAGAGATGTACTTCTGGCTTCTGGGTAACCAAGCAGGTATCCTAGAAGCTGTTTTGTTGGTGGTTTAGTGAATCCAAGTCTTAGAAATAACCACCTATTTTGGGGATGGTCTGTCCCATTCTTCACAGGTTGCCCTGATTGAGCAATCTCTGTGTCTCCCGCCCCACTCTCCCGTGCCTTGGACACACTATTGCTGGTGAGGCTTCCGGTATAGCCATAGCTCTCATGGCCAGACTTACATAAGAATGGCCATATGGGGTCAGACCAACGGTCCATCTAACCCAGTATCCTGTCTGCCAACTGTGGCCAATACCATATGCCCCAGAGGGAAGGAACACAACACGTAATTCTCAGGGGATCCCTCCCCTGTCATCCATTTCCAGACAAACAGAGGCTAGGGACACCATTCCTATCCATCCTGGCTAATAGCCATTGATGGATCTAACTTCCACGAATCTATCTAGCTCTTGCTTGAACCCTGTTAAAGTCCTAGTCTTCACAACATCCACTGGCAAGGAGTTCCACAAGTTGACTGTGCGCTGAGTGAAGAAAAACTTTCTTTTGTTTGTTTTAAACCTGCTGCCTATTAATTTCATTGGTGACCCCTAGTTCTTATATTGTTGGAATAAGCAAATAACTTTTCCTTATTCACTTTTTCACACCAGTCATGATTTTATAGAACTCTATCATATCCCCCCTTAGTCTCCTCTTTTCTAAGCTGAAAAGTCCCAGTCTTTTTACTCTCTCTTCATATGAGATCCGTTCCAAACCCCTAATCATTTTTGTTGCCATTTTCTGAACCTTTCCAATGCCAATATATCTTTTTTGAGATGAGGCTAGCACATCTGTATGCAGTATTCAAGATATGTGCGCACCATGATTTTATACAGAGGCAATAAGTTATTCTCTGCCTTATTCTCTATCCCTTTTTAATGATTCCTAATATTCTATTTGCTTTTTTGACTGCTGCTGCACACTGAGTTATTTTACTATTTTTTGTACTTATTTTACTATCATTTTAGTTTAACCTTCTGGAAAGCAAATGTGTTTGCATGCAAATTTGCACTGGTAAACTCACCGCGTGCCCTTCCTCCCCCCCCCCCCCCCAAAAAAAAATTAGGCCCTAGGCACCAGCCTAGTTTGCCTGTTTTTGAATCTAGCCTTCGACTTGTCCCCTGGGCTATACTGACAGCTATACAGTAAACATGTCCCTGGAGTTAATGATGGCAGAGTAGAGGAGAAGCACTGGGTGGAAAAGAATAGAAACCATTTTACTGTCTGTATCGGTGTGAATGGCTTCCACAAAGACAGCATCTCCAGGATCCAGGCGCTCCTCCAGGCTGGCTCTTGTGTATTTGGGCCCCGCAGGATCCAGCCCTGAACCAAGACAGAATTCAAGTCTCATTACCAGACATGCTGCTACCCCTAACCAGCCTTGGTTTGGAAGAGTTCAGGTTAGCACCAAGAAATCCAGATGTTGATCCAGACTTCTCCAGGCTGCAAATGGGAACAGGAAGTTGGGTATAATTTGCAGTACATTTGTGAAATCACAGGGTGAAAGTGAGAAGGGAAAGGGTGTTGCCAGAAGGAGCCTATAATTTTCCTTCTCTCTCCTTTTAACCTCTGCCAGGTAAACACACAATGAGCAACCATTAGAAGTTACAGATTCAGAAAGGACAGACGGTCAAGGCCCTGAGTGTGAGGTTGGTGAGCATGTAATTACTGGGGAGGGAAATGGTACTTCTTGACTAAGCGTGGGGGGGGAAGGGGGACAGAATTGCCAGGCCTCCGGGACGAGGTGGGAGGGTGGGGTCTGTCTCCATGCTCGAGAAAGGGGCAGGGCTGGGGGCAATCTCAGCTCAGCCCAGACTGCACCACGCCCCCTCCCCCAGCCAGCCCCCACCTGGAGCTCTGGCTGCTACTGTTGCCACAATAGCAGCAGCAGCTGAGAGACTCTAGGCCCTTTTGAATTGCTGGGCACTGTGGAAGTTGTCCCGTTTGCCCCCCCTCACTTGTCGGCGTGACTGTGTAGGCCTAGAGAGGATGTAAATAATGAAAATGTTATTGCTGAAAGTGGATTGCTGAAGGTGAAGCAAACTAATCCTGATAATGCAGTTGTTGTTTTGTTTTTTTTAAATGTAGAGGGGTAAGGTTGTAGTGCAGATAGCCTCAGAGGTGCAGTGCATACAAGATGGCCCAGTGTCAAGCTATGTCTACACTGCAGGCTTTTTGCGCAAGAACAGCCGTTCTTTTGCAAAAACTTGCTGGCTGTCTACACTGCACATGCGTTCTTGTGTAAATAAATTTACAGTCTAGCATCAGAAAACAGGGCATCTTCTGGAAGAGTTATTCCTCTCCCCACGAGGCAGAAGCCCTCAAGTACAAGAGCTCTTCCACAAGAGGGCAGTGTAGACAGGCAACATGAATTTCTTGCGCAAGAAGCCCCAATGGCTAAAATGGCCACCAGAGCTTTCTTGAGCAAGAGAGCGTCCATACTGACATGGATGCTCTTGCACAAAAGCACATGGCAGTGTGGATACGCTCTTGTGGAAGATTTTTTTGCACAAGAACTCTTCCACAAAACAGTTTGTGCTCAAGAAGCTTGCAGTGTAGACGTAGCCCAGTGTAAAGTCCACCCTGTAACCAAGTTAGCTCAACATGGCGACTCTACAGTCATCCACACTGTGCGCGTGTGTTTTTTCCTCTCTCTCTCTCTGTGTGCTGTTCCTCTTTGCTGTTCTTCGTCTGAAATAAAAGTTCTGTGTGTGTGTGTGTGTGTGTGTGCGCGCGCGCGCTGTTCCTCTTTGCTGTTCTTCGTCTGAAATAAAAGTTACTCCCTGGACAGCATGACGTTTGGCCTTTGAAACACAGGCATGCTCTTTGTGGTGAGGGGCCCGCATGGACCAAATGATGCAAACTTTTTTGTGGTAACTGGGGTGCCAGGTCCAGTTAGGCTTCCCACCCAGGACATTCTGCCCTTAAGATGGTACAAGCTGTGATGCTGAGAGGGTCATGCCTTTATAATTCATTCCTATTGCTCTCAGTCACACACAGTCCTTTGGGATTGATCACAACATACAAAACTATTTTCAAGCATTAACATTTTGATGCCTATAGGGTCTAGATTTCCCATCATTAACTGATGGTGCAATGGATGGTTGTGTGTGTGTGTGTGTGTGTGTGTGTGCGTGCCTGCCTGTGCTCACCAGAGGGTTGCTGGACATTACACCAAGAAAAAAATCATTCCTGAACTGCTCTGTAGCTCAAAAGTACCCACAAGCCCAAGACTTCACAGATGAAGGACCATTTTCAATCCCTTCTCATGCTCTTTCTCTCTGTCCTCACAATTCAGGGCCATTGGGAGAATCCTGGACCCAATGTTAACATACCTGTAATCCTTCCCAGCCGGCCTCCATACAAATACCCCACCAGACCTGCAATGTGTGCTCCGAGGCTCACCCCAATGAGGTGGATGGACTTCTCTGACACGCCGCGTGCCTGAGGAGTTGATAATAAAAGTTAGTACTTTTCATCCCCGGCTCTCAAAGCACTTTTCAGAGGTTAGTCACTGTTATCCCCATTTTAAAGATAGGAAAACAGAGGCACAGGGAAAAGTGATCTACCCAATCACACAGGAGACCAATGGAAAAACCTGGTTTTCTGACCCCTAGCTCCTGGGCTGCACGGCTTCTCTTAGTGCATAGGGTAGGCAACCAGAGAAAAACAAGTAGTGGTGAGTAATGGCCTTACTTAGTTCTATCTGCTCTACTGATCATGGACACAAAAACATTCTAAATCAGTGTCCTCCTGCTCCCTCTCTATGGGCTGTCTTCTCATCGGGATGCTTCCCTCAGAACCTCCAGGTTGGATGACACCACTCCATCACCAGTCCGTCCCTTCAACAGGAACAAGAAAGGCAAGGTCTCTCTCCTGCCTTTGTCACCTCACCGCCCCATGCTGCTCTTGGTTTCTTTTCCTTGTTTCATAGTGTAACAGGGAGCCTGCCCTGCACTGGGCCTTTAAGCCCAGGGCTCAGGCCCTGAGCCTTAGGGTGGCTTGAAGAACCCAGCTGAGGCTGTTAGGCTAATGAGAGCCCAGCTGTCAGATATTCAAAGAAGCCCGGGTGGCTAGGAGAGCCCAGCTGTCAGCTATAAAGGGAGGAGCACAGTTTGCTTGGGGGAGAGCCAGTGGAGGGCTGGATGCTGAAGCCAGAGCTCCTAGGAGGGAGGGGGCCAGCCAACAAGGGCTGGAGAGGGCCAGCCAAGACTCCCCCTGGAGAGGGGCTGGAGACAAGACCCTGGATTGGTAGCTGGATCATGATGCCAGCTTGGTAAACAGGGTAGTTGAGACAAACACTGCTGATGATGAGCAACCCATACAGATTGTAACTTGCCCTGAGAGGGGCTAGATGAGGACAGTCAGGGGGCACTGAGGCATGGGGTTTTAGTTGTATAGATTAGATACCAATGACCTGAATGGGACTCAAATACCACAGTGTTTTCTGAGTCAGGGCCAACGTGCTGGGATAGGGTGTCAGGCCCCCCAGTCAAGTACAGCGGAATGCAACGGAGACAGGGCAACACATTGAGGCAATACAGTGGAATGGTACAGGACCCAGCACACTTATCCTACCACCTTGGCTTTGATCGTGTTTGAGACCCACTTTTCACAGGTGTAAACGATGACACAAGGGGAAAGTAATGGAGGATCAAGTCCTGTGCCTGCAATATGTGAGGATACAGTCCTTGGCAGGACAATGATTGTGATTTAGGACAATGCAATATGGTACAATGCAGTGTGGTGAAACACAAGGCTAGGCACAGCAGTATGTGACAATGCTATACAGTAGGGTAAGGGAGAAGGGGCCAAGGGGCGGAGAAAGGCAGTGTCTTTTGTTTACAGACCCTACAGCCATGATGGGTTGCAGCTGGCTGTGTTACTCAGGAGGAAGACAGCAGGGTATCTGAGGGAAGAGGGGGGGAATCTGTCTGGCAACTGCAGTGAGCATAGTATGGAATAAACCGCAGATGTCAGAATGGAAGCCACTGTCTTGGTTGGTTTGCATTTGCATCTCTTTCTGTCCTATCTTGGCCATGCTCCTCCCACTCAGACGTTCATTTCCACCTACCAGCAACTTGCTGATTAACTCAGATATCATGATGCTCAGCTCCGTGACATTTTCCACAGCACCAGTGTAGTCTCCTCTAGCTCCATAAACCCAGTCAACGGCGATCACATTCACCTTGGCAGCTTGGAGGAATGCACTGGTGAGTTTGCTGATCCAGGAAGGCTTTGTGCCCAGTGCTCTGGTGAGCCATCGGAAATAAATGTTAGATGCCTTCCAAAATGGGGCCTGCACACGTGCAGACTTCCCCACTGGAGTGGTGTCTCAAAACCTCCCTGCTGGGACTGCCACAGAGTAGGTGAAAGTTTTGTCTGCGATCAGCCAGCCCCGAAGAGCCTTCCTTCACCGCAGTTCGCTAACTCTCTTCACCTATAGCCACCCTGCCCATCATGATCCCGAAAGAAACCAGATATTACATGACCAAAACTAACACCTGCAGTGACAACAACCTGAGTGAAATTGCCAATGGTATCAGCCCTGTCGTAATGGGTACACAGCTGGGGTCACTAAGAAACTTCTTTCCATAGAGAGTATAGTCTAGTGAACGGAATATAGTAGAGATCTAGGAATGAGACCTCGGATAAGTTACCAGGGGTTGCAGGCCCATGGACTTAAGGGTTGCCCTGGAATTTTTGAGACTATGAAGTCTCTTACCTGTCTTTACTGAAAACAGGGTGTTCCCCTCAAACGGCAGATTTTTAAAGGCATTTGATACTGGAACACCAAACTGATTTAGAAACCTAAATCCCATTCTTAAAAGAGATTAGACAAAATCCTATCAACAGTCAATGGCATTTGGATTTTGGCTGCTAAGTGCCTAAATCCCTTTTTTACAGCGAGGGTTAGGCCCCAAAAATCAGTTGAGCTTTATGATTCTAAGTGTAGCAGTGCCTACGTGCCTTAAAAACATGTGGGCTTTCACCTATCTGTGCCACAATTCCGCTTCCGTAAAATATGTATTTACCTTTGCATGTATTTTAAACTATTTCATTTTATAATATCTTGCACTGAATGGAAATTAAACTAAAAAGATTTAAAATCGGTGATGGGTTTCTGATGATTGCACAGTAAAACAAGCCCTCTTGCCTAGGCCATGCCAGAACCCTTACCTTCAGGGTGTCCTTTATCCCATCTTCCACCAGGGCAGCACTGCTCTTGGAGGGGGGGCTGAAGCCCACCACCCTACTGTCCCTAGGTGAATGCTTGAGTCCCTAGGCCATGCCAGAACCCACCCCAACCCTTCATCTTCAGGGTGTTCCTTATCCTGCCTCTTTCCTGGGCTGCTTTAACAATCCTGGCTCA